GTTACTATTTACACAGAACGTCTTTCTCTGTGCAAAGGAACCTCAAGTTTCTCTGAATATCAAAATGTGTAGTATGTCGAGAAGCAGAGCTAGTTTTGAAATACAGTTATTTTTATTATTCCAGAGCCGCCTTCTGCATATTTTTTGGATTGTTGGATTAGCAAACCACATGGTCCATCAACAAACATGTCTAGCAAACATGTTACTTCCAGGTGTTTCACAGGGTGCTGGCGATAGAAAAGTGTAAGCTGTGTGAGTCCTTCCTCACTACCATGGAGTTGAGCCTTGTTGTCCCCTGACCTGCAAACTGATGTTTAAAGAGATAACTGCTTCTCTTTAAACAAGGCAGGAATATAGGCATTATCCTAATTTAGTCATTTTTATAAATTACTTGTATTTATTAAGTATTAATAATTTATTATTAATTTCTGGAAAACCAAACACCGCATGTTCTCACTTGTAAGTGGGTGTTGAGCAATGAGAACACAAGGACACAGCGAGGGAACATCACACACTGGGGCCTGTCAGGAGTTGGGGGCAGAGGAAGGGAGAACATTAAGACAAATACCTAATGGATGTGGGACTTAAAACCTAGATGACGGGTGACTGGGTGCAGCAAACCACCACGGCATGTGTATACCCATGTAACAAACCTGCACACTCTGAGCAGGTATCCCAGATCTTAAAGTATAATAGATAAATTTTTAAAATGCAAAAGCAATAATTTCTGGAATAAGAATGAAAACTAAATTTTTTTTTTTTTGAGATGTCACCAGCCTGGAGTGCAGTGGCGCAGTCTTGGCTCACTGCAGCTTCCACCTCCTGGGTTCAAATGATTCTCCTGTCTCAGCCTCCCAAGTAGCTGGGACCACAGGCACGTGCCATCATGCCGGGCAATTTTTTTTTTGTATTTTTAATAGAGACAGGGTTTCACCATGTTGGCCAGGATGGTCTTAATCTCTTGACCTCGTGAGCTGCCTGCCTCAGCCTCCCAAAGTTCTGGGATTACAGGCGTGAGCCAGTGCGCCCGGCCAAAAACTAAATTTATAATATTTCCTGTTATAGGACATTTTGGTTATTTGCTCTTTTAAAAATACTTAGAGATATGTCTATGTATTTGAAATTAAGTCTCTTGACTCCCTGCTATATTCGATGGCCATAACTTCCAGAATAGTGTTAAATAATAATGATTATACTGGCTGTCCATGGTTTTCCTGATTTTAAAGGAAGTAACTCTGGTGTTTATTAATATGCTGATTTGAAAGGGTTAAAAAATCATGGTAAATCCTTTGTATTCTAATTGTTAAACATCAACAATGACGAATTAAACATTACCAAGTGTCTTTGGTGCTGCTGAAATCATTACATTAATACCAAATTGGCCTATGTAATACTAATAGATTTCCTAATATTATCCCCCTTCCCCAGAGTGAATACAACTATATTCATGAGGTATTATTCTTTTAATGACTTGTAAAATTCAAGTCATTAAATTCTATCGTATTGTTTTTTGAATTTTAACATGTTTATTATGTATTACTCTTTTTTTTCTTTTTTTTTGAGACGGAGTTTCGCTCTTGTTACCCAGGCTGGAGTGCAATGGCGCGATCTCGGCTCACCACAACTTCGGCCTCCTGGGTTCAGGCAATTCTCCTGCCTCAGCCTCCTGAGTAGCTGGGATTACAGGCACGCGCCACCATGCCCAGCTAATTTTTTGTATTTTTAGTAGAGACTGGGTTTCACCATATTGACTAGGATGGTCTCGATCTCTTGACCTTGTGATCCACCTGCCTCGGCCTCCCAAAGTGCTGGGATTACAGGCTTGAACCACCGCACCCGGCCCATGTATTACTCTTTTAAGATAAGTTTGGAGACACTGTTAGTCTCATTCTAGTCCATAAATAGAGATTGCAGAAATCGGGGGTGGGGAAGAACCTATTTGTCCATTTCAATTTTCATTCTCTTTTTTCCTTTATTTTTTTGAGACAAGGTCTCACTCTGTCACCCAGGCCAGGGTGCAGTGGCACAATCACAGCTTCACTGTAACCTGCAACTCCTGCCTCAGCCTTTCCAGTAGCTGAGAGTGCAGGCGTGTGCCACCATACATGGTTAATTTTTATTTTATTTATATAGGGACAGGGTCACTCTGTAGCCCAGGCTGGTTTCAAACTGCTGGTCTCAAGCAATTTTCCTACCTCAGCCCCCCAAAGTGCTGTGATTACCTTGTAAGAGGCTACATGCCTAGCCTAGCCTTTTTTTCTCTACCTCTTATTCCAGCTGTAATAATTATTATTTCTTTCTTTCTTTTCTCTTTTTTTTTTTTTGAGACAGGGTCTCACTCTGTCACCCACGCTGGAGTGCAGTGGCATGATCTCTGCTCACTGCAGCTTCTGCCTACTGGGCTGAGGCAGTTCTCCTATTTTAGTCTCCTGAGTAGCTGGGACTACAAGCGCATGCCAGCACACCAGCTAATTTTTGTTTGTATTTTTAGTAGAGACAGGGTTTCGCCATGTTGAAACCCTGTCTCTACTAAAGACTGGTCTCAAACTCCTGACCTTAGGTGATCCGCCCACCTCAGCCTCCCAAAGGGCTGGGATTACAGCCAGGAGCCACCACGCCCAGTCTGTTTTTTTCTTTTCTGAATTCACAAAGAACTTTCTAACCTCTCTCAAAGCTCTCATCCCAGTTTCTTTTCTTTTTTATTATTGCATTTTAGGTGTTGGGGTACGTGTGAAGAACATGCAAGATAGTTGCATAGGTACACACGTGGCAGTGTGATTTGCTGCCTTCTTCCCCTTCACCTATATCTGGCATTTCTCCCCATGCTCTCTCCCCAACTCCCCACCCCCTGCTGTCCCTCCCCTATTCCCCCCAACGGACCCCAGTAAAGTACAAGCCATGTGCCTAGCACAGGGAAAAACACAGTGGTTAGAATATGAGTGAGACCTAGGCTTATATCAGGCAGAAGAGTCATTAGAGGGTCCTTAATTTTGTAAGGCTTCTTCTGGAAAAGCATTGATGATTGAAATATATCATTTTGAAGTGATGCCTTGAAATGAGTATTGGAAGAATTTTTGACAAAAGTGATTAGAGTAGAATGAATGTCTTTAGTTTTAAGAGTATGAATTAGGAAAACTTATTTGAGGTAACTAGTTCTCTCTGTAATCTACCATCAGAACTAGAATGAATAGCTACTTGGAGCATATACGTGAAAGGCTGGTTTTAGTGCTTTGCTCTGGTCCCAGCCATTCAGGACATAGGCAGAGGCAAGGACTTTATGACTAAAACACCAAAAGCAATGGCAATAAAAGCCAAAGTAGTCAAATGAGATCAATTAAACTTAAGAGTTTCTGCATGGCAAGAGAAATAAATAGTCATTAGAGTGAACTGGCAACCAATAGAATGGGAAAAAATTTTTGCAATCTTCCCATCTGACAAAGGGCTAATATCCAGAATCTACAAAGAACTAAAGCAGATTTACAAGAAAAAAACAAACCCATTCAAAAGTGGGCAAAAGATATGAATAGACACCTTTTAAAGACATATATGAGGCCAACAATCATATGAAAAAATGCTCACCATCACTGGTCATTAGAGAAATGCAAATCAAAAACACATTGAGATACCATCTCACACCAGTTAGAATGGTGATCATTAAAAAATCAGGAGACTCCGCCTGCTTCAGCTTTCCAAAGTGTTGGGATTACAGGGAAAAAATAAATAAATAATTAAAAAAATAAATCAGGAGACAACATGCTGGAGAGGATGTGGAGAAATAGGAACAGTTTCACACTGCTGGTGGGAGTGTAAATTAGTTCGACAGTTGTGGAAGACAGTGTGGCAGTTCCTTAAGGATCTAGAAATAGAAATTCCATTTGACCCAGCAATCCTATTACTTGGTATATACCCAAAGGATTATAAATCGTTCTGTTATAAAGACACATGCACACGTATGTTCATTGCAGCAGTGTTTACAATAGTAAAGACCTCGAACCAACCCAAATGCCCATCAGTGATAGATTGGAAAAAGAAAATATGGCACATATATACTATGGAATACTATGCAGCCATAAAAAAGAATGAGTTCATGTTCTTTGTAGGGAATGGATGAATCTGGAAACCATCATTCTTATCAAACTGACACAAGAACAGAAAACCAGACACTACATGTTCTCATTCATAGGCAGGTGTTGAACAATGAGAACATACAGACACAGGGAAGGGAGAGCATCACACACTGGGGTCTATTGTTGGGGGGCTAAGGGAGGGAAAGCAGGGGGTGGAGAGGTGAGGGATAACAGAGAAATGCCAGGTATAGGTGATGGGGGGATGGAGACAGCAAACTACCTTGCCATGTTTGTCTGGGGTACGTGTGTAGATCATCCTGCATGATCTACACATGCACCCCAGAACCTGAAGTAACATAAATACATACATATATATGGTATATACATGTAATTCAGTCTAAAAAAGGAAAATCTGACACATGCTACAACATGGATGAACCTTGAAGATAAAACAAGCCTGTCACAAAAGGACAAATACTACGTGATTCTACTTTTATGCAGTACCTAAAGTAGTCAAATTCAGAGACAGGAAGGAGGGGTGGTTGATGCAGGCTAGTAGAATGGGTACAGAATCTTGGTTTTGAAAGATGAAAAGTGCTGAACACGAATGGTGGATGGTTGCACAACATTAATGCCAATGAACTGTACACTTAAAGTCAAGATGGTCAATTTCATATTTATTTTATCATAATTTTTAAAGAAGTCAATAGGGAAAAAATATATTATTCAGCCTAAAACCAAATGAAAGTCACACCACCAGGGTAATTCTTCAGGAAATGACATTTCTAAGTACTGGCCAGCTTTCATAGCATCCTGCCAGAGAGGGTGTAGTCGGGAGATATTGTTGACCTTGTGCTTGTATGCAGTGACGAGACTTCCTTGAAAAGCAAAGGAATATGCCACATTCGGTAATCACGCTCTTCTTTTCCTTAGGGTGTTAAATACCACATTATTCGAAAGCTGGGAGATCGTTGGACCTTACCCTTCCTGGTGGGTTTTTAACCTACTGCTCTTGCTAGTACAAGGGTTGAACTGCTTCTGGTCTTACTTGATTGTGAAAATAGCTTGCAAAGCTGTTTCAAGAGGCAAGGTAAGCTACAACTCACTTTTTCCAATATGTCTTAGAAATGTTTGTTTTTGTAATTTCTCTGGATCAACTATTTACTATGTCATATTTCATCAAAATTTGCATTCTTAAGAATTGAGCAAAACCACCCAGAAACATAAATGAAAATGTCATTTCCTTCTCTTTTAGTGTTCCTTTGCTGGCGATGGCACCCAATGATATGCATTTGTAATTTCAGACTTAATAATGTATTATTGGTTGTATTCTCTCTCCCTCTTCCTGTCAACCTTGGACCTCCTCTGATTATATTTATACAGAACAGAAATTTAATTACTTCTTTCCTTTTATGAGAAGGGTCGCTTGGTGCAGTATGCCTGTTTAAACAAATCTTTCTTTCAAACTGAAAAACAAATCTGTTCATGACTTTCAACAAGATTTAGTTAAATCTTTTTGGTTAAAAATGGATTTGAGATTGATTTGAATAAAGCTTCCTAGGCTCCCCTCCCCCAACCCCTGTGTAGAGCAGAGAGACTTTTCCAGATCGTTCTCTGTGACATTTTCTTATTTGTTCTCTTCCTTCTGCTACCCTGGAAGGCTGGGAAGTGGAACCCTTTACATGTAAGTTTCTCCTCTGTCTCTATCTCTGTCCTGAGTGCTTCTTACATGTTGGAGAGGCACTCAGAGCTTTTGTTTCATGCATATTGTTCTGTCTAACCTATTGGCACTGGCCTGAAGCTTCATGTGAGTTGTAGTTCCATGAGCTGCAAGGGACAGCTCTGTTAAGCCCTTTGGTGTGAGCTTGTATTCTGCTAAATATTGCATGATCCAACAGAGAGGAAGAATTTCTTTCACTGGTGTTTAATGTGTTAGCTAAAAGACAGAAATAGACCAATGTAAAGTAGGAGAAACAGAGCTAGTTGGGGAGGGGGAAAGGATCAACACAGAGCAGAATGGAAGCCTGAGCATCAGCTGTGTGCCTGACCTGCCCAGGGCGACAGGGTAGTGGTACCTGACCACTCTGACTCAGCAAGGTCATCAGAGCTGGCCTCTTCCGCAGGGAACGTCAGGGCATCTAGTCATGTACTATGAAGCCACTTCTTAGCACCAGCTCTAATATAAATCCTATATATTTTGATCAACTAATTATTCAGAAGCTAAAGTTCATTTTTTCTGTGTGACCTCTCACTCTTTAAAATGAACATTTCTATTTTAAAATCTTGTCCCCATTTGGATACAAATTTAATCAACATGCACAAAACTGTCAATGTATCAATAAGAATGCTACTGATTTGATTACTTGTGTCCTTAATTGCATTGCTATTTCTACCAGACATGTTGCCTGCTCTTCAACGTATTCCTTCTACTTTATGAAGAGAGTTGATGATTAATTTTATTCTAGATCTCAGGCTTCAGAATATCTTAGCTGCCCTTGCAGCTCTCACCTGGGACAGTAAGGTTCATCTTGGCCATGGGTCATCTTTCTCTGGGCTCTTTTAAGATATTGTAAATTGTCCTTTCTTTGAAGGTAACATAAGTATAGATTTTTCTAAGTGCAGTTTAAAAAATCTGACTAAGCATGCAAATGTAAATTAATCACTAAATCTGGAGTTTTCTATTTATCACTAATGTACTTAACATAGTGGAGCTTTGCTATAATGCTGGCTTTGTGACTCACAGTGTTTAAGTTCAGTTATCTTTATGTAGCCATTTTGGAGTCTGAGTATCTAAATCTTTTTGGAGATGGCCTCTGTGAGTTTAGTCCTGTCTCAAAGGGCATTGGAGTGAGGTTCGTTTTGTGATATTTACTTCATCACCACTGGTTGGCATAACGCAGGAGTTCTCAACTTTCACTTTCTCCTGACCCCACCCACCTGAGAGAGATGACCTTCTCCCCAGGAACTGCAGTTTCTCAAGTTGGGCAGGGTGGAGGGAGTGCAGAGTTCTCATGTTAAGAGTGTAGTGGTAGCACAGAGAGGCTGTGATATGGGAAAGCCCTGGTTAATTCTGCCATACCTCCCAAGAGACTTTGCCAACCTCCCCAGCCCCCTCTAGAGAATCACAGGAGGACCAGATTGGGAAAATTCCTGTGAAGGGAGGCCACCAGGTCTCTTTTGTCAAACCACTGAAAAATATAAGCAGTGATCAAAAATCTTAAGGCCTGCTGAGTAAAAATGGTTACCCTAATTTAGACTTACAGAATAGGAGGTTCAAACTGTTTTTATATTAAAAGCAGTATTTTCTTAATTTCCCCCCAAAATTACTCCCTTGCTAGACAGGATTTTTCTCATCCTTTATGGTAATGTACAGATTTAAATCTTCTCACCTTATTTTGACCTCCATGTGACTTAGTGAGATTGAATGGAGGATTGAAGAGATTTGGCAGGATGGGAGCCAGTTCTTGTTGATCTACTCAGATTTTCCTCAGCAGATATTTTAAGCTCCACCCCACCCAGCAGGTTCTTAAGATGCCTCCTGGCCAGGTGCAGTGGCTCACACCTGTAATCCCAGCACTCTGGGAGGATGAGGTAGGTGGATCACCTGAGGTCAGAAGTTCCAGACCAGCCTGGCCAACATGGTAAAACCTGTCTTTACTAAAAATACAAAAATTATCTAGGTGTGATGGAGCACACCTGTGATCCTAGCTACTTGGGAGGTTGAGACAGGAGAATCACCTGAACCCAGGAGGCAGAGGTGGTGGTGAGCTGAGATCATGTTACTGCCCTCCAGCCTGGTGACAGGGCAAGACTCTGACAAAAAAAAAAAAAGATGCCTCCTGCTGCCATTTGTTGTGTGACATATAAAACAAAATTCTAATTATAGCATACAAAAAATAAAAATGTAATCATAAAACAATGCATTACAAAGCCAAATAGGGATTTTTTTTTAACCAATGTTCTGAGCTAGTAACTGTCTCCATTGGTGTGGTTGAGAGATGACTTTACCTTATTCTCAAGGAGAATGTGATCATCAGTGAGTAAATTGATCCATTTGTACCAAATTCCTTTGATGTCATTCCAGTGGCACAGTATGCTACTTTTTGAGTAAAAGCTGAATTCATGGTCTAGTACATTCTCAATATGGAAAGATAGCTTAAAGAGCTCAGAAGTCCAGCCCTCTGTGATACTTACATTCCTTCATAAATGACTTTGTCACCTATATTTTGTCCCTCCAATGAAGGGGAACTTACTGGTATGGCAATGTTCTCAGCCTTTTCATTTTTTAACATTGGGATCTGTTTACCTTTGTGTATGATTGCATGTGCTTCTAGCATGCTGAACCTTGATGATTTCTTAGGTGCTGGTTATACTCACCTGCTTCTACTCCACAGGTATCCAAGGATGATCGAAGTGATATTGAGTCTAGCTCAGATGATGAGGACTCAGAACCTCCAGGGAAGAATCCCCACACTGCGACAACCACCAATGGCACCAGTGGCACCAACGGGTATCTCCTGACTGGCTCCTGCTCCATGGATGATTAATTACTCAAAACTACAAGTCCCAAGAAAAGTGAACTATTTGTTCCTGGAAGTATTTAATAAGTTGCAAATGCAGTTCCTTTCATAATATCTCAGCACCAGAAACAAAAATTAAGATTATCAAAGCATTCTGAATAGTGCACTGCCATGTGTCCTGTCTGTGAATGAAGAATTATCATTCTCTCCATGTAGGCATGCTGTATGTAATTGACACAGGGAACAGTATTTGCATTTGTACTGTCTTAGAATATTATTTATTTTTTGTATTTGTAAATCTGTGGACAAAAGAGGGTTTCCTCACTCCTTTTACTCACTGGGCTCATGACAGTGAAGGAGATGCTCCATCTGCTTCTCCCCCTTTCTCTTGCTGTAGTCCAATGTGCTATGAGCATCAGCTTACTTTGTCACTTAAAGCAAGGAAAACCCAGTGCAAGATTCTTGTTCAGCTCTAAATAGGTTTGCTTTGTGCTACAGTGCCCATTTTGAAATTGCCTATACAGTCTCAGTGACCATTTAAACCCGATGAACTAGGTGTTTAATTTTCACTCTTCAAGGTCGATTAGCAGTTCAAATTAAAGAGGATCGTTATTGGAGGACTTTTTGAATGGTTTTTATATTGCTTTGAAATAGATTTCATTTCTTGTGCACACAGCCAAGATTTCTTCAGTGGGTGTGATAGCTAGTTGAGGGTTAACCTTGTAGGTTACAGTGTGTTTGTTTTTCTCTATGATGAGGTCAGTGCTCTGATTCTGAAGGAGGATTTTCACTGAAGGTTAAGTTATAAACAAGGAAATCACTGTTAAGAATGGGAATTCGTCCTGTGTTCTGGGGATAACAAAGAGAGCAACTGATCTCAGCCATTTTGTCACTACCTAGAATTAGTGCAGTTTTCTGTCATGTTATAAAAGAAAGAAGCTAAGTATATTTGGGGACAAAAAAATCTTTCAAGAGTTGATAAAGATTACCTCTCCAGTGCAAAGCACTTTAATGCAACCAGCTTTCAAGCAAAAGCCCTTTCTAGTACTTGATGTTAATGTTTTTATTTTGCTGAGCAAAATAAAGCCAATGGGAGAAAGTCTATTTTACCCTTTGCTTTTCTCAAATGTAATGCAGATGACTTTCCTGTTACTAGACACTGAGCAGCATTATGCTCCAATGCTTTTTTGAAGACTTGTTTGGTTTCTAGGAGTTTTTCTCAAATTGGGCTATTTCTGGAAAAATGAAAAATTCGATTGGACAAGGGCAATATCAACCAGGAAAATTACTGAAGAATACGTTTCCATAAGTCTCCTACACAGCAGCATCATTTATGTGCAGATAAGAAAACCATACGTAGGCCAAAGATTTTATCTCTTCTAACTTTTAGTAAGAGGAAAAAGGGATTATAAATCCTTCATAAATCAAAAAGGCCATCAACCTAAAACAGGAGTTCCAAACAAGAATGCTGTTATATAAACGTGTGAATCAGGGTGGTGAAGACAGCAGCAGAAATACTAACGAGTGTGCAGAACTACCAGAGAGTGTATATCCTGCTCAGAACCATTCACATTTGATTCTTTGAAAAAATTAAAGCTCTGTGCCCACAATTTACAACTGAAAAAATTAAAGCTCTGTGCCCACAATTTGCAACCTGTTGGTTAATAGTTAAAAGAATGCTCCCAAACAAAAAATTATTACTGTAGTATATCTTATCCCACTTATTTACAAAATATGTTTCTGTTATGGTCCATAGTAATAATTGAAGAGGCTGAGAAATCCATCTGCGTGTTGAGAAAACGATGCAAATAATTCTGCTTGTAGAGCCCAGATATTTTATTTCACAACACAGACATATGTCTAGGAGTGTAATTTGTGGGTGGCTGAGTTTGTAAAAACAATCATAGAAGTACTTGTCATCAGAACATCTGCTAAAATGCAGGTATATATATAAAAAAGTAGCTGAAATTTTTGAGAAGGTGAAAGTTTGGTAATTAAAACATGAACGTATTTAGCTTGCTTTAGTGTCTGGAGCAAGTCCTCTCAATGGGTAAAATTAACTTTAGGGATCCACAGTGTTGGGGTTTAGATTATATGACACTTGAGCACAGAAGAATTTCAGAGAGATCAGCTTGTAAACGAAAGGTTTACAAGAATTGCACAAAATGAGGTAAATTGGATCTGTCATTACCAAAGACAAATCTAAATAATTAGGCCCCCCCCCCACCGCCCCCCCAAGAAGTTCTGTAGAAGGAGAACTGGGACCACCTGGAGCCTCTCTAACTGATGACATTAACTTAACACAGTCCTGTATGTTATCTATAGGTTTTTATTTCATTTTGCATTTTAGGGCAGAGTTCTTTTGGGCTAATTAAAATGGAGTTTGCAGGCTTTCATGGTATAGAATAATATATCTCTGTCTGTAGCTTTCTTGTGGTAGCCTGATAAGGCTGAGAGAGAAAAATACGTGCAGTATTTCATCCTCCCTGTGCCAGGCCATAGTTTTGAAGTGTATTTTGTAAATTCAACTATAGGTTAGTGAGAGTGTGGTTTCTTGTTGATCAACTTAGCCTGTGTTGATATCTCCTTCTTCCTGGTCACCTTCAAACCTTCCCAGGGCACAAAGGATTATGTAGAAAGGATTCTAGAATAAGTAATACTTTATCCTCCAATGTGAATAGCTTTTCTGGATCTCTTGGTGGGGGGAAAGTAGAAAATTGAGTAGAATTTGGCCTCAGGTCAATAAATGATATCAAAATATGTGTTCTATGTATGTATATGTATGTTTCTTCAAAAAGTGATAAAAGCAAAAATATCACTGACTTATCCTTACCAATATTCTTTTCATAAAACCCATTCCCCCAGGTACAATAGAAGCTTCCTCCTTGTTTGTCAGCCTCCTGGTCATGCTCCCCACACACCTGAAGGTGGTAGAATCTTAGCCTCTTACCAGAGAGCTAAATATGGCTAAGTGAAGGTTAAAGAGCACTTAAGATCAACATATAAGCCAACTGAAGTTCACCTTTCCAAATTTGGCCCTGTGGATGTTGAGCACAGGGAAGCAACTATCAGAATTTTGGATTATTCAAGTGTATGTGGTAAAAATGCAAATGATTGCTGCTTTACCCCAGGATTTTATTAGCATCCTACTTCTGTTGGGCTGCCAGAGAGATGGCTTTCTGAGGTCTCATCACATAATCTGGTCCAGGTAAACAAGGCAGAAAGGGTAGGCAAGAAGCAAGATAAAATCAGATCATCTTGGATCAGAATGGTGGGTGAACCTCCACATGTCCGGTTCTGTTGCCAAACTTTCCATTCTGAGTATTTGATGGAGTTTGAATTTGAGCAAACTTAATGCCTTCATCTTAGGTAGAAAGGGCCTGAATCTTCCACTTTGTATTCAAACCTCATTGTTATTTAGCCTAAGTAAAAAGTGAGATTGCATTTCCATTTACCTGAGTTCGCTTTAAAGAGCCCTTCAAAGACAGCTTTATAGACACCCACGATTAACCCCAATCTCTTCATGATGTTGCATTAATAGTTGTTTTTTCCCTTTCTTGGAAACATTAATGCCAAAGTTGCCTGAACATTTGAGCATTTTTCATAATTTGAAGTATAAAAATTATAAAGAATAACTCCAAAGGTATTAAAAGATTGTTTATCAGTATGTTTCATGATGTCATTATCTCCAGAGAGGCTTTGGAAATAAAAAAAGGTTAAATGTTTACATTTCATGTGCTATTTGAGGTCTTCGGGTTCTGATTAGCTTACTTTTTTTTCTTTTGCCTTTGGCTGATTTCTGCTTTGTAGATAAATAATAGCCCTGAAATGTTTCTTACATTCAAATAGGAAAAAAATCAAATTGAAATCAGCCTGCTGGAAAAGTGATCACATTGTTCTTCCAGCAACTTGTATGGAAAGAGAAACTGCAGTGAGCCCCAGTTACTCCACTAGCCACTAGCATACTGTCCGTGGAAGGAATAATCATCAACAGTTCCATCATCACAAGCCACCCTTGAAGGAAACGCAGCAAAATATTCTTAAATGAAGATATTGCAGCCCCCAGAGACAGTGAAGGTTTCTTTTGGCAAATGAAATTGTGCCATTCTCAAATTACCCCATAGTGATGAGCTGACTGGTTCACTGACCTCATTTTAGTTCTTCATAGTTTGGGGCCAGAAAACTGGTTCAGGGGCCAGAAAAGGGCTCTGTGGTTTGCCTTTGTGTGCACTGTCCCCTCTCTACCCCTAGGGGGCACTCAGTAGCTGCTGAGAAGGCCTGTCCACGCTGCTGTTGGAACCCCTCTAATAAATACTTAGAGGTAGCGTTTACTGATGCTTGTTTAATGAAGAAATTGTATTGGAGAACATACAGCATCATGAATATTTTTAATAGGATCCACAGACACCCAAAGGAGAAGCTTAGTATTTTCCAGGTATTTTCACCTTGAGTTCAACCCAAAGCCTTTGAAAGGAATGCATTACCACATGGCCACATGCTAAGACCCCACAAGACCTAAGAAGGTCTCTGCAGCCAGATAGTACATGGTATCTCCACAAAACTAGGCATTCTGGAGATTGCCCAGAAAGGGATGCGAGGGGACAGTGTCTCTGTCTTGCTTATCTCATTCACTCATATTCCTTTCAGCTTCCTGGAACTCCTGATAAAAGGAAGCTGGGTATTGACATTTTTTAGCTATTGATTTCCCAATAGCTTGTGGATCAGTTGCATATCCACACTTCCTTCTCTGCCTAATTCTGTTTTTCTGGAAAAAAAAAAAGTATTATGCCCATATATATGTGTTTTCTTAACACAGGTTCGTGAAAGTTTGGCTTCATAGTCTGGTGTCTGTTGCATGGCCTAGAAACTAGGGAGAAACAACTATTGAGATGGTTTCTGTGTTCAGTGAAAAATTCTATTTTGTTGAGACATTTTTTTCTTTATTACCCACAGAAATTTTTTTAAACTACCATCATGAAACTACCCTTAAAAAAATAAGATTAGCTGCAAAAAAAGAAATTAGCTATGGAATAGGAACAGTTACGTGATGATTCTGGAACTTTAACTTAGAGCTTCATTAATTTAAGAGTGGAAAACAACCTCTGAGCTTGATTTCCCAAAGTTTCATAAAGGCCCTAAGCTCATGATTTTCATCAATTCTTTGCCCACATAATCATTTACCTCCATAGACATTTGTTGTCATAGAAGGGGTGGTGATGTTTGGATTTGGTTTTTTTCAACTTGCAGTGAGAAATAGGATAGTCAACAAAACCTTACTTGTTTTCTTAAGACAATTCAGTGCTTGAGCATCTCTGTCAGAAATGGAATGAAATACTGTTAGCCAATTAGAATTATTTTGTGTATTGTTATTGTGTTTTACTGATTTTTATATGAAAACAAGTATTCATTCTTGATTTCTGGAAGCAATCACTATTATGAGGATCATTTTACTTTGGAAACACTTTCATAATAAAGATAAGTATTAAGAGTGTAGTGTAAGTGCCCTTTCCTGTAAATGCTAACCAGCTCGTGTGGGTGAAACATCACATCTCACTGCATGAGGTTAATAAAGGCTCACACCATTCCAATAGGTTACTACAAGCCTCCTCAAATCCCAGTATCACTGTGATCATTGAGAAAGTAATGTTACATTAACTTGGATAGACTATAGTATTTCTTTGAAAATTAAGATTAACCCTCAATTACAAATTTTATGTAGCACTTTATTCTGGCAAAAAATATGATTTATAGAGATCATCTGAAATATATCAGGTTATACTTATTTTTAAAACAATTTTAAAAGAGGCGCTTAGGATAAGCAATCCAAAGCACAACACAGAACTTCCCTTCTCTGTGTACGCACCCTCATCAGAGCTTGGCCCACAGCATCTTCTGGTTCGTGCCTCAGTTTGTTAGAACTTCTCTCCATCTTTCTCTCTCTTTCCTGGTAAATGCTGTCTTTCTCAATCTGCTCTTCCACTCTAAGCTTATGTCATCTAGCATCTCAAAAGCCATAAAAATAGCACAAATTCAAGCAGACACCCCGCCACTATCACAAGTATAAAAAATAAAGCAGACACCCTATTAAAATCTTATAACCACCCCCAACAATAGAATAACTCATGCTGATTTCAAGCATGAGTTATTCTAGTAAGTTAAACCACCAACATTCCTCTGAGACACAAAAATATAAACTATGAAAAAATGTACTTTTTTGGAATTCATGAATTCTTCAGTTCTATAAACAGCATAATCCAATGGTATAAGCATTTGTCTTAGTCTGCTTTCTGTTGCTGTAACAGAATACTACACACTGGGTAATTTATAAAGAATAGAATTTTATTTGGCTCCTGGTTCTGGAGCCTGGAAAGTCCAAGAGCATGATGCTGGAAATTGGTGAAGGTCATTGTGAGGAAGGAGACCCTTAATCCTCTGAAGCTTCTAAGAGCCCTTCCCCCTAGACTTCTGCATTGCATTTCAATAGGAGAAGTAAAGGCTGGCAGACCCGGGCACCACCCTTAAACTCCTGTAGATCATAGCCATGGTATGGAGTAATCTTTCTGGAAGGCACTGTTTTTACTTAAGCACGATCACACCCCCACCCAAGTCAAGGTACCCCACGGCTACTTCATGAATCAAGACCCTTTCACGTGTAATTTCTAGAGTTGTAAGCCTTTAAAAGGGCAGGTATTTTCTTTGTTAGGGAAGCTCGGCTATTGGGCACCTATGCCGCCACTGCTCCCAGCTGAATAAATTGCCCCTTCTTTCCCAGTTTGGTGTTTCAAGGTTTGTTTGTGGCCTTTCCTGCTTCAGTCACATGGTGAAAGGTGCCACATAGGATAGCAAGCGTGCTAGACAGAGAGGAAACTGGGCCAAACTCATCCTGTCATCATCCTGAAATAAAAGCATTAATCCATGCATAAGGACAAGGTCCTACCTTAATACTTGAGTTTTGGAGAGGGCATTCAAACCATAGCAGTATCTCTCCCAAGTAGCCAAAATGCAACTCGCCTTTTCTCTAGGCCCCATTGCTTACTACTGAGGCTGCCATATCCAACCTAAGCACCTGTATTCCTGCCTCCTAATTCTGTTTCTACCAGCCATGGACTTGCTTTAGTGGGAACAGTAGCATCAGTGCTAACAACACTGAGAGATGATAGGACAAAGGAGGAGAGCTGTGTAGCAAGATCTACTGGGATGCTGGGTGGCCCCTCAGAACCAATCGGCATGGTAAGTGGAGCCTGGAACCCACATCCTTGATTATTCCCAAAGTGCTGGAGCATGAAGAAACAAAAGTTGTATTATTTGTAAACATAAAAATTTTGAATTTTTTAATTAAGAAAAAAATTTTTTAAGGACAGGGTTTTTCTCAGTTGCCCAGGTTAGAGGGCAGTGTTGCAATCATAGCTTACTACAGCCACAAACTCCTGGGCTCAAGTAATCCCCCACCTCAGCCTCCCAACTAGCTGGGACTATAGGCACATGCCACCACACCCAGTTAATTTTTTTAAATTTTTCGTAGTGGTAGAGTCTTGCTATGTTGCCCAGGCTGATCTTAAACTCCTGACCTCAAGCAGTCCTCTCATCTTGGCCTTGATTTGCAGGGATTATAGGCACAAGCCACTGCACCCAGCCTGAAATTTAAAAATTTAATAAAGCCTGCCTTAGCCAAGGTCCAGGTGGGAAACAGAGCACTGTCAGATGGTTAAGTTGAAGAAACTTTATGACTTTACAGAGGCATGGGCTGGATTACAACATCAAACAAGGGAGAGTGAGGCACCCAGAGGCTAGCAAGTATGGGAAGCCTTTACCACCTCTGGGCTGTAACCAGAGGCCAGTGAGAGGGGCTAGTGTGGAGGAGAGACCACCCTTTGGGTGATGTAAACCTGGGTGGAAAGTAAATACCCTAATGTCTCCTTTCCTGCTTTGTTGTGCCACCCATTGGCTGGACTCAGCAGAAAGCTGACAGTGCAGAGGCCAGGAGATGAAGGCTACAGCATTCAGCCTCCCAAGGTGCAGAGCAGAGCTGACAATAGATGTGGGAGAGCAAACAAAATAAGCAGCATAAAGCCAGTATTCCTAGAGCCTCCCATAGACTCTGGCATGTAATCGGGCACAAGAAATGTTTGTCAAAGAAACAAATTAACCCAGTTTCAAGAGAATTAGTAAGATGGGAGCTGTCAGCAATTAACGTTCCATCTGCTAGGAAACAAGCAGGAGACAGCACTTTGTCTCTAACTCTTTCTGAACTCAGGGTTTCCCTGTGTGGGTTCCAGCTTCTTTCACTGGTGCCCCAGGCACAGAAGCTGAGGGGCTTTATGGCAGGCTTGGGTAAGGGAATTTGGCACCAGCATCCCAGGCCCAGGCATCACGGGAAAGAGATGCAAGACAGACCAGAGAAGTGGCTAGAAACGAGGCAAGAGAACCTGAAGAAAGAAGACATGAAGAACTAGAGGATGAATGAAACAGCTGTGAAACAAAAATGAGACAAGAAGGTCTGCGCTCCAGCATTGATGACTAAGTTTTGAAGCAAATCTTCAGTTATGAAGTTTATTTTTTTAACTTACTGAATAATGGAAAATATTTGCATAGCCAGAGATAAACAGCAAAGGCTCAGGTCCCTGGCTGCATAATGCAGTTATTCACAAAAGCCCACTGGTGCCAGGAATTGTACACACTAAGGACGGAATGATGAATAAGACAGATATGGTTCCTGCTTCTATGGAACTTAAAATAAAGGGAAGGAAAAAAAAAAAAACAAACAAGGAGATGCACATCATATATCATCAGGGAAATGCAAATTAAAACATCAGTGGGATACCACTACAAATGTCAGAGTGGCCAAATTCCAGAAAACTGACAACGCCAAATGTTGACAAGCACATAGGGGAACTCTGCTGATTGCTGGTGGAAATGCAAATGGTTCAGATGTTTTGGAAGACAGTTTGGCAGTTTCTTATAAAATTAAACATTCTCGCCTTTCCTAAGTCGGCACTCGTCAAGATCGTGAATCCCAATGGCGAGAAGCCAGACGAGTTTGAGTCCAGCATCTCCCAGGCTCTTCTGCAGCTGGCGATGAACTTGGACCTTAAGGCTCAGCTCAGGGAGCTGAATATTAGGCAGCCAAGGAAATTGAAGTTGGTGGTGGCCGGAAAGCTATCATAATCTTTGTTCCTGTTCCTCAACTAAAATCTTTCCAGAAAATCCAAGTCCGGCTAGTACGCGAATTGGAGAAAAAGTTCAGTGGGAAGCATGTTGTCTTTATCGCTCAGAGGAGAATCCTGCCTAAGCCAACTCGAAAAAGCCGTACAAAAAATAAACAAAAGCATCCCACAGACTGGGTGGCTCAGAACCATGAGAAAGTAAATTCAATAATAGAGTGTCTTTTTTCACAGTTCTAGAGGCTGTAAGTCCACGATCCAGGTGCTATCAGGGTTGATTTCCCCTGAGGCCTCTCCTCCTGGTTTAAGGATGGCTCCTTCTCACTGTGTCTTCTCGTGATTCTGTGTATGTCGGTATCCTAATCTCCTCTTCTTCTAAGGAATCCAGTCATACTGGATTGGGGCCCACCCAAATTACCTCATTTTACCTTAATCACCTCTTGAAATGTTCTGCATCCAAGTGTTGTCACCTCCTGTGGTAACAGAGGTTAAGGTTTCAACAAAACTTTGGAGGACACAATTCAGCCTTGAAACAAGGCAATTTCACATAGTGACAAAGTGATACAGCACAGCCAAGCTCTCCGCTAAAACCTGCCCTTAATCCTGGTACCTCAACCCTAAGTGAAAACAGCTGACCCCATTTTTCCTCCCAAATGTTGCTTTTTTGGCCTGTCACACCCCTATCCTGTGCCCATAAAATGACTTCCGCTGGCAGAGCAACACAAGAGGCTGAGCATTGGGGAATACAAGCTGCTGCCAGGTGTCGGGGATACAGGCGACTGAGTGGTGAGCAGAGAAGCAGCAACTCAGTGCTGGAGACTACAGGTAGATGCCGCTAACCTCAGTGCAGCCTCAGGGAAAGATCACCTGGTTTCTGCACCACTCCCTTTCCAAGTCTCCATCCCACTGAGAGCCACTTTTGTCTGCATACACCACCCTTCAATCTGAAATGAGAAGTTTCTGAAAAATCTGATTGCCCAACTAACTGCCACTATCTGCTTCCGTACGCTCACTTCCTGCTTGCTCACTAGGAAGTCCCTTGAGAAACTGCCACATTGCCTAAAACCTTGAATTACTCCCCCCACCCCTAATCTATAAAAGCTGGTGCTGTTCCAGGCTGGGGTTCCAGACCTTTGGGTACAAACCCATCTGGGCCCACCAGCATAATAAACTGTGTTCCTCCAACCTTGAGTGCCATTTGGGTTTCTTGTCAGGTGAAATTCTTCCATAACAAATCCATTTGTGTGACCTGATTCTTCCTGGATGCTGGACAAGAACAGGTTGCTGAGAGGGCAGGGGCTTGGTTGCCACTGCAGAGCCCACACAG